AGGAGAAAGAAGGAGAAGAAAGGGATGAGAAAGAAGTATGAGAAAGGAACGAGAAAGAACAATGGGAAAGAAGAATAAGAAAGAAGAACAAGAAAGGAATGAGAAAGAAGAATGAGAAAGAAGAACGAGAAATGAGAAAGGAGAGAGAGCTTGGAGCAGCGGGACAAGAGCTCCACAGCCCCGCACAGCACATGGAGATGTCAGCGTCCCTCGGTGGAATGTTGGCATCTGATTGAGAACAGTTTGCACGCAGGGAAGGGGGGAAAAAAAAAACAGTGAAAAATAAAGAAAAGACTCAAAAGCACCCTAACTTGCCTCTTTCATGGAGAGGCTCCTGAACACAAGAACTTTATCAGTTTGCCATTCATAATCCATTTGCATAAACTGCCATACCACCAAGCAGACTGCACTTCCCATTTCCCTGGCTTCACTATTTAGTGGAAAATAAAGAAACATGCCTATTTTTTTTTTGTGTACCCAAGGTGAGACACAATTAAATGCTTCTTTTAAATATTTCCATTCAGCCACACCACTATATAAGGTAACTAATAAGACAATTCTGTATCAATATTGCTTTCCTAGTGCCAGCAGAGAAGGAAATGGCTTGGACAGTCCTGAGCACAGCATCAGCTCAGCTGAGCTCTCTCAGCTTCATAGATTTCTTCATTATTTACTCCAAAAGCACCAAAATCAGAACCAGGAACATTGTGTAGAAACAAGCTGGGCTTTACAGTTCTCATGTTGGAACAATTATTTCCAAAGGCTAAATGTGTACCACTTACCATACATTTTGCCTTCATCTGATAAGATGATTTTCCTCCTCCCACACGGTGGATAGATAGCTAGAGCCTCCTGAAAGCTCTGTTCAATGTCAGGACTCCAGACACCTTCTGCATCGTTGTCAATGGGTTTATCTGCAGAATCACTCATTCTTTCAATGTCTTCGGCAGGACTCTCGCTGCCGCTCCAGCTGCTGGGCTCAATGGTGATGGCTGGGGTCTCCAAGCCTAAGCCTGGAGTCTTCAAGGGAATAAACCTGCAACACAAACAACCAACCCAAAAAGGTATTAAAGGCATGGAACTCCAGGCAAACATTTCTGCCTACTTCTGATAATAAGTGAACAGCAGCTGAGCAATAATGGCAGTAAGGCGAGCATGGGATACACCCAGGAAAAGTGAAAAATTAATAACTATTCTACCTCAAACGAGCAGAGGCAGAGCAATAAGGCTGCCAGAAAGGGAACTCTACTGCATTTTCTATGTGCAATTACATGAGGGCATAGAGAATCAGATTATTTTTCACAAACAGTCAAAGTGGGGGAAAACTCTCCAGTCATACTGCATCTGGCTAAAGACTGGCATGCTTAAACTAAAAAGCCAGATCCTCAGGCAGGGGAAAATCAGAATACTGCCACTGGCTGGAAGGGAAGCACACTGATTAATGCCAGAGTGACCACCAGAGCTTAAAACCATTTGAACCTAAAAACAAAAGCAAAAACTATTTTTCACATTCATCCAGATGTCAGTGAATTAAATGGAATTATAGCAGTGATGCCACAGCTCAATGTAATTAACTGTAAAAGGCTTTAATTTTCATATCTTACCCAAATAAATAATCAAATACAATCAGAATCCAAGCTATATACAAAAAGAAATCTTTAAAATGATAACACTGGAGCAAGGAATTACAAGAGAAGATATATGCTTTGCCTGATTTAAAAGGTCTGTCACAGAACCATAACAGAACAAAAATTACAAGCTTCAAGTTGCTGAATCAATTTAATAAGAAATAATTTAATATAGCTGCACCTGCTCACACTAGCAGAGCTGCAGATCTGTCAGTGTTCCTTTTATATTTTTGAGAGAAATACAACTCTACTCTAAAGACTTGCTCCAGGCAAAAAAGCTGCTGTATCAGACCAAATTCACCTCTGGTGTAATTCTTCGGGAAGTGAGTCAAATAACACCAGGAACAGAATTTGGCTCAACATGTCTCGGCAGTTTTATTGTGAAAAAAGGAGAAGTTTGGTGACTCTAATTGATCTAAGAGGATGGGAGTGTTCAAACATGCATGCATGAGCTGCAAACACAGTTAAAAATCCAGTTCCCTGGCTAAACACTCAAAACCCCTAAACTACAAGATTTTTTTTCTGCTAGGGCAGAAGAGAGGAGCTTCCCCTCGCACAGACCTCCATCCTCCTGCTGACATGCCTGGCACTGGGGTCTCAGGACATTGTAAAACAACAGGTGAAAAGCAGAACATCATCCACCCCACGGAGGAAGAAGGGGAGGGTGTACATGGAAAGCCATGACACCTCTGACTAAACACCTTTGAGCTGGAGAACTGCCTGAAAGAGGAAATATTTACAGCAGCCCTCACCAGCCAACCAATCGCTGGAGATAACTAAAACCTGATGGTCCAGTCCTTGGAGGCCACAGTGTCTTGCAAAAAAACAGAGCTGCAGCTGGGGAAACTGGGAGCAGGCTCAGTCTCACAAACCAACATTACCAGTCTGGCATCCAAAGCACAGGGTATTTCCACTTCTCCAGGCTCTAACCGGAACTCAGAAGGACCAGTATGTGTGAAATAATAGGCTCCCATAAACTGGATTTTCCCTGCTTGTCTGTCTCTACAGAGTGGCATTTCTTGACTTTGCGTTGCTTCGAACATTTCAGCACAGCTTCCAAAAATGTTAGTGCCTCCCCACCCTAACACAGCCAGGCTAATCACTGTCTCAAATGCTTTTTAATAACTGATAATGAAGGAGCAGATGGATTCACAGAGAACCACACGTGTGGTGAGAACTCTGGCCAAATGCACCACTTATGGTCTGGGAAATCCAAAGCACACATTTTTTAAGTTTTAATGACACACAAAGGGAGATGCAAACCTTGGTAAAATGGTGAAACCCCATCCTTCATAATCCTCAGATGGCTGAAGGGTTGGTTCAACACCCAGAAGAGTTAAATCTTGTCTGCAAAATTTAGCCCAAGCATGAGCACAGTGATACTGGGAAACTACTGACAAAAACAATCATGTCCACTTAAGCCTTCACAGAGAAGGGGAATCTTTGGTAAATGAGAGGTAATTGAATGTTGATGGGGATAATTAGGAGGAGGAGTCAGTTTTATTGCAACAGTGCAGGGGAAAATGGCTGCTGGAGGATTTATTGGCCTCACATGACCAAACCACAATGAGCATCTCACCAGAAGGCAGCAGGGGGTGGGACACATCACTGGCTCTGTTTTCCAAAGGTGGCTACAGCAGGAAATCCTTCCCCTCACTGAGTCCATGGCTTGCAGAGCACAGCACAGCCACAGGCAGCTTCTGCTCAGCTCAGCCACCCTCTGCTTACAAAACCTGCCACAGTCATAGCCTCAAGTCCTATTATCATCTTATAAACCAGCCCTTGTTATTACATTATGCTGAAATAATAATTAAAATGCACAAGGAACATAGTGAGGCTCTAAAGTAATTAATGTTACTTGATAGTCATGTCATATCTTGCGTTGTGTTTACTGGTGAATTTTCACTTATCTGCTATCTCCCTTCCCATTCCTCTTTACCTACTTGGATATCATCTTGAGGCACTCATAGATACTATTCCAGCCTCTAAAATGTAAGATAACCAAGTGTTCCTTCAGAACATCTGTACAATAGGGGCGTGGAGCAGCCTGCTGGAAGAAAACCTTTCATATTAAAGGTTATTTGGAGCGATTTCCATTTTGGTGAATGCTGACACTGCAGATTAAGCCAGAGGGCCAAGGAGGAAGAAAACTTGTATTACAACTGCTAAATGGCTCCCTCTTACTTCAGGAAAAAAATGAGCTAACTCAGTTAATCATTTCCAGCTCAGCTCTATGTATCAAATGGCAATTCCACCTCCTCCTCAGCTTGAATTCTAAAGACTCAGCTGCGATGAAAAACTTCAGACCTGTTACGCTGGAGTTCAACAAGATTATCAAAAATAATATAAGCTGTCAACAGATGAGTTTTTTTGCACATTTCTAATGAGCTATAACTCTCATATGAAAAATGTCGATTTACAATACAATTTAAATTTTAAAAAATTTTAGAAAGTGAGCCTACTTTATATTAGCAAACTCCAAATCTTGCAATGCCAGCTTTCAGAGGAGGAAAAGCCAAGCTCCTGGGGCCAATTAGCCCCACCTCCCCTGGCCAAAATCAGAGATTGTACACATGACAGATCAAGTGGAAGGGTTCTGTATTTGCTTTTTATCATGTTAACTTTCAGAGAACCAATACCCTGTTTGCACTTTCTGTTAACAAAATTAAAACACATCAACACTACCTAGAAAACCAAGCAACCAACTAACTAACCAAAAAAAAAAGCCCCAAACCCACAAAAAATAGAGAAAAAAAAAATGCACAAAAAAACCCTAACAACAACCCTAGCCCAAAAGATTTTGGCTCACCTTTTTGTACATTCTATCACTGCTTAAAGCACACTGCTGCAGTTTAGGTGGTCTCTCTTCAGAGTTTTCCTTTTAACACCCGCATTACACATTTCAAGATAGCTTCCCCTGTACATAAAACTCTTTTAGCTGCAAACCAAATGCATCTGTCTTGCAGCTGCTTTCTACTCTGTGCAGTTAAGTCAATTCTAAATATATCTGTTTTCCTCATGTGGTCATTAAGACACTTTTTTTCTGCATGATGGAGGTACGTCCTCCCCGTCAAACAGCACAATGTCACTCTTAGGAACAGAGACACCATTAGGGGACACAGAGGATTTTATAAACATGTTTTATAGCCAGGCCATTCAAGACAGTTTGGTGAGCTACAAGATATGACTTGCTGTCATTATGTTCACTAAAGCAACTTGAAAAATTACTTTAAAATCTCAGAGAAACAAAGCTAGCTGTTGTCAGAGCCCATCAAACCAATGTGTTTAAATCAAACCAAGTCTGCAAGTGCTTCTCAAGAGAATGGCTTCTTTACCTACACAAAACATTCTCTTATGCCTTTCACTTTATGAGCAATGCAAACCTGGACTTGCCCAGAAAGCTGCTGCTCACAGACCAACAACTGAGATCAATGGCTCCTCACAGGAGTGTAGGACAAGTGCAGAGCTAAGGCCTTGATACCTTTCATAACCTTCAATATTTGCACTATGAACTAACATGGAAATGCTGTCTTTCAAAAGTCACTAGAGCTGGGTCTTATTTTCCAGTGTCTTCCAAAAGTTAAACAGTTTTTTCTGTTTGTTTGATTAATTTGCTTCCTTGAATTTTAGTGTACAGGTGCCAAATGGTGCCTTCTCTGTACTATCCAACAATCCCTGGAAAAGGATGAATGCTCTGCAGATATTGCAGCAGGAACACAAAAATGACTGAAAACACACCTTGATTCTGAGAGTTGTCTGAGGAAAAAAACCCATTATGTCTCCCAAGTCTTCTAAACTGTATCTGCTCAGAGGGGATCAAGTCCAGGTATTTCTGAGACGGAACACCAGTGTTGTTATCCGCACTGATCTTCTCACTATAAATAGATGCAGACTGCTACCAAATTATTCTTACAGCCAGATCTATATTTCTAAATCATGTCTTTCAGAAAAAAAAAATCTTAATTCTTGAGGTAGAGATTTCAAGTGTTGAAGGGGTAAATTACACTTTTAAAAACACATATTTTTAGTTCATGAACAACCTCATCTTAGCCTCAGTTATGTAAAAACAATGGAACGGGGAATCCAACAAGTTTTTTATAAACATTTAGATGGCAATGAGCAGATGAGTGCAAATCAACTAATTCTAAATTTGCAGATGGCATATTTTCTCTGAAGGCTTGAAAAGTTGCAGGCCCATGGGATTTTCCTTCTGCTTTGTTCAGCAGTGCAAATCCACAGCTGGAGTGCCAAAGCTCTGGAGAGGATCCAGAGGAAGAAAGTTATCAGATCTAGAAAACATGACCTACCAGGAAAGGAATTGGGTTTTTTTTTAAATTTAGAAAGGACTGTTTTGAGAAGATAATCACTTTCAAATAAGGAAAAGGTAAGAGCAAAGCAGAGAAGCAGC